CTTACATTTATCATTGATAACTCATATTGGTGGCCTTCTAGTGAATTTAAATTTTCAAAAAAACTGTCAAAACTATTTCAACTGTTGAAGTATATTTGAATAAAATTTGTTCACTTCGAAAAGTTTTTCTGCTTTTTCAAGCTGACGAAGTGCCTATTCTATGAAATTCTTTAACAATCCTGTTTAAAAAAGTGGCAAGCTCAAGATTATTAAAAAATCCAGTCAAAAATATACTCAAAATAGCTGAAATTTCATGACTTCATTTCTTGACGGACAAACAGACAAAAAGAAGACAAGAAAATTATTGCATTTCAAAAAGTGAGCACTTTTTAAAATTATATTCCATTATACACTTATTTACTAATGGATTAAGTGAAAATTATACTATCGACTTTCATCTTAATGTAATTAAATTATGACTAAATGCTTCAATGTTTTTTCCTCGTTCCATGAATGAAAATAGATTTATTTCAATGAGTATACACGGATTTATGACAGTGAATATATAGAAAGAAAGAAAACATGTCAAGAGTGCAAAAAGAGTGAAAAATGGCACACATTTGTTTGAGTAATGTGCTTTATTTTTTGATAGATGTAAAAATAAGATTCTCGTCTTACATCTACAGTAAGGAATTCGAGTAAAAGCTTTTAAAACTTTGATTGATATAAAAACAGAAGTAGAATTACATGTGGTTTTGTAATACAATAGTAGACAATCCTGTCACAGTCCAATAATTATGAACACTCTTAAAGGCACCAAAACTACCATAAAAATTTGTCATGCGAAACAATGAAATTGTTGGTGATTTTATGGAATGTTCATTTGCTTTTGTAGGGAACGCTTCTAATGAACATTATGTGGAATAAAGCTGGGATATAATGAAGTTAATGTGAGCAACTGGAATACATTGTTGAACTAGGATTTTATCCCATTAAGTTTAAGATATTTACTATAAATTTCTAGTGACATAAAGAAGATAACTGGAATAAATAATGTTGATTGAAAATAAGACTTTTCTTGAGAATTTTATATAGTATGGAATAGATTTGTTTAAATTATTGACGGTGGCTTATTTTATAGCTTTCAATAAATTTTAAATGCTTCAAAAACCCAACACAAAATAACAGAAAAAATTGGTTGACTTTAAATTTCACTAAAATATGGCGTAATGAAATATGAGAATCTATAGAACTTAAGGGATTGCGTCATTACATGTTATGCATTTCCATCCCTCAACATGTTCAACACATATGCTTCATAGCCTTAAACTAATTAACTTCTCGCTTTAAAAAAATACTGTTTCAATGTTGTACGACATGTGACAATGCAATACATGGTCACTGAGTATTAACCCTGAAAAAATATTAAATATAACAAGCTAATAATGTCCAACACTTGGAAGGTTAGAGAATAAAAAAGTCACGGGATGCATCGATGGCTATAAAAGGATCTTGACTCTTTTATTGTGTCCTAGATTCTAAATTAATATTCCGACGAATTATTACGATTAGAAGACAAATAATTTAGGAATGTGACTCTGTTGCACTGCCTCAAAGCTCGCTCCATGCTGAATTTAACATTGTTCAGTCCTCAAGCAAGTCTGGTACCAAATAATCTTTACTTTTGCCATCCAGAATATCTCAATTGAACTCTATATCCATAAATATCCTCTCCTAGATTAAAAATTGAATAATAATTCATTAAAGCCCCAACATACAACATAACAAACGACCATAAGCTCATTCTAACCACATTGACCATCATTAATCACTAACCGCTGTCCCATTTTGAGAGCAATCAATACTTAATCTCAACCTCTTTATTAAAAATTACAAAGTAATTTAAATCCAAGCGCTGTTGCAAAAAAAAGGTTAAATTGAAAAGCATTTAACGAAGACGAGCAATAAGAACTTTCTGTTGAGGAAACTTTTAATCAGCAACAGAAATTTTATATAACTTTTTTTTATCTTAGTTTGAGAATTACATTGACTGAAACTTCATTTTGTTCTTTTTCGTAGCTTTTCGAAAGTTTACTGACACTGACGATGAGTTTTTGTCGTGATTGTTATTGAACTGATTCAATATGGGAATGTTTATAATTAACGTGATAAGCTTAGAAGAAGGATATAGCAGCTATATATATATTGTAGGTTTAGCTAGTGCATGGCAAGGAGGACTTTGAAAAATGTATTTATGAAGAGCATTAAGTTCCATAAAATTAGGTTTTAAACAGTTTTAAGAGCATGGCAACCAAAAACATCCCAATTTATCAATGGATATCACTTATGAACGTCCCATTTGTTGACAAACTTGATGGAAATTTTTATTGAAAACTTATCGCGAATCAGCTCGTCAACAGCGAGTTGTTGACTATTTGAAATTTTCCAATTTATTTCACAGTTTGTTTGCTTGAAAATTTTGCTTTTTTCGTGAGAAAAATGGAAGCAATTTTAGATATTTATGATCTTTAGTTTAAGGGTGTATTCAGGGGACCTTTCTCACAATAGAGTTTAATACTCATCCTTCTCTGTTTAGGATCCGAACTCCGTTGATTGATTCACATAAAAAATTGTTGCTTTTATCCCTGACTACAATCTTGCCCCAGTCTTTCCCAAATTTATTTTTAGCGAGCATAAATTTATTGCTTTTTATCGAAAATATGTGAAAGTGTCAAGTTAAAAAAAAACTTAATGAACAAAAAATGTGCTTCGGAAATTGACTGATTACATGATTTGTGAGAAACTTTTGACAGATAGATAGACGAAGAGCGAGCAAACGAGAGTTCTCGAGTAACATGAGCACACACAAAAATCGATGAATCTAATTAATTTTCCTAAATAAATTAAAAATTGAAAAAGAAAAGAATTTTTCGAACATAAATTTTCCATGTGAAATTTTAAGCCTGTCACGGAAATTGTTTTTTCAGGAAGGCAAAACATAATTATAATCCATCACAATAATTATTATTCGTTTGTTCCTGATAACTCATTTTTAAACAACTTAGTTGTGGAAGGACTTTTTGTAGCTTATTGCGATGTATTTTGATAGCACGTAATTAAATTATGAAGAATTTTAGGAATCAGCTGCGTTATTGATGAATGTGGAATTTTATTGGTTAATTTTTTTGTGTTTTGAAATTTGTTTTATGGATATAAAGTAAAATTTTAATCTAGGGGCTTTGACCTTCCAGAACCTTTCAACACATCTCTATAAACTCTAAAATATCCAGCAAATCTGAGAATAGTTCACACCAAATCGTTCATCTGCTCATTAATTTTTACAACATTGTTTGGACATTTCCAAAGTAATATCAGCAAATATGTTTTGTCTAGACAGCACAATTATATATTCCATAATCTTAATGTTACTCTTGTCAATAAAAAAGTAGCAACATAAAACCTTTAAATGTGAAATGGCACTATAAGTTATATTACTAGAGAAGATGAAAGAGTGTAAATTCCATTTCACTTAAAATTCCATTATGTCTACCTCATCAAATAATTTCCCTCAAAACTCTTTACTAATCATCCTTAAAAACACTATTGAATGCCTCTCATTGTGCTATAAATAAGATAGTAATTTAAAAATATTATAAAACCTCTCCCAAAATACCTTTGATCTTCATTATTATAACAACAGAATCTACTCAAAATTGCCATCATAAAACGTATGAATTCATTTAATATCTGATATTGGATACCTTAAAATTAACCCAACAAAAACAATATTCTGCTTAGACTTCATTTTTTCTCACATAAAAATGGAAAAATTCCAACAAAAAATTTCCATTCCAAGCACTTAACTACAGACGATCAGGAGAGAGAAAAATTTCTTGATTGAACTAAGCTGATGTTAAGTACCATGAGAAAATATTACGCATATACATAAAATGTCTTGTAATAACAATTATGGAATAATAGAACATTTTCTATAATGGAATTGAATGTCCTAAATTGCCTCAAAAATAAATTCTAAATCATCTTAAATTATTTTCCATAAACGATAAACGCCTTCATAATTTTCATGCTCATAATGTCTACACGGAGAGTTTTATTAGTTTTTGTGGGGTTTATGGTTGAATGACGTCTAAGTGAAGGTGTTGGGGAGGTATGTGAGGACTGGTGATGCTACATAATAGCTTAACTAAGTAGGTAGGGATCAATAGAGTAGCAAAAAGACATAGAACATAGTTTATTGCTGACAAATTAAAGATTGGAAGTCGGTGGAGTGTCAATAGATGGTTTAACAGCTTGTAGCTTTGTCGATCTAGCATAAAAGGACGACTAAGCATCAACATCTTTAACCAACCCACAAAATTCCATCAAATAGTTAAAAAACCTCAATCCTTTAAAAGACGTCATTTTCTCACGACCCCTGGGATAATATATTAAAATCAAAACGCGCCATAATAATAATTATGATTTAATTAAATGCTATCAAGTAACAACAGACATTATTGACAGATAAATATTTCATTAATCTATCTACACGCTAGCTTACAATACGACTAATAACGCCAAATAAAGAAGAATTAAGGATTATTAAGAAGCAACAGATAATTGCGTAGATTTCTTCTCCATATCAAGACAACATCCTTTAAACACAAAAATTTCGTAAGCAACTAAATGAAACAGAAGACAACGACATAAAGGCAAGAATATTGCTCGCAATAAATATTTTAGAAAAAAAAAAGTTTCGTTTCATCGTCTAATTGCCAACGAGATTCAACAAGAATAAAGAGGGATATAATAAGAAAATATTTCGCGCGCTGTGAGTTACTGACTCATTATCTTACTGGCAAAGATTTTGCTTTTCTCTGACAAACACAGCCAATTAAAAAAATGTCTAAAACGTATAATAATCGGCAAGGACAGGTAATTGTCATATAAATCAAATTGATTAAGCTTCGGCAATAATTTTGTGCAGTTCATGAGCATTATTCTCATCCCTCTTTAAAATAATTCGAATATAAATTTTCTTGCGTTTTATTTCCCTACAGATATCAACACTCGTTCAGCATCGTTCGGAGCGATCACATATAGGAACATCCGAGAGAACGCTACGTGCTATAGGACGAGTTGGACAAGGTGTAAATCTTGCGGTTGAAAGATTTGTGACTGTTGGTGAAACGATAGCAGATGACAATCCTGATATTAAACAAGACATGTATGATGCTTGTAAGGAGGCGAGAGCTGCTGGTAATATAAATAAGCATTATGCCTGCTTATTGCTGCAAATAAAATAAAATTTATTTTCATGCAGGATCATCAATTGAACGACTGTGTGATGTAGCAGCGAGTGATCCAATGGGATATGCACAGTTGGATGATCGAGGGCCAATGGTGAGAGCTGCTAGGTCACTACTGGGATCAGTGACTCGTGTATTATTATTAGCAGATATTGTAGTCGTTAAACAATTACTATTAGCTAAGGATAGGGTAAGTTTGTGTCATAAACAGCATTGTCAATTAAAGTGGAACTTTATCGTCTTGAAACGCTAATCAAGCTTGTTTCTGAGCTGAATTTCCAAACACAGAACTGCTAAAGTTTCTCAATTTAGTCAACTAATGACATCTCAGTCAATATCAAAGGATATTGAGCAAACCATTGAAGATCAAAGACAATTTTACTCCTAAGACGCCAAAGTTCCACTTTGATCATGTGCAGCTCGGACAAGAATCTAAAATTCAATCAATATCTAATCTTCATATTCCATCTTTCAACAGATATCGAGGACATTAGGTAGACTAGAATCAGTAGCAACATTTACAGAATTTGTGAAAGCATTTTCAGTATTTGGAGCGGAGATGGTTGAATTGGCACACATAACAGGTATGATAAGCTGCACTCAAGAATTTTATGACTGAAATGCAAGCATTCTGAAGCAGAAAATAAGCAAATCTTCCTCATTTATAGCTAAAAGCATAAAAATTTCAAAAATTGAAAATTTCTTGCATGATAAATTTGTTTAAATTCCATAAAAATTAAGCCAGAGAAGGAAAGGTTGCTTACGGGGAAAATATTTTCCATAACTACAGATGAACATTTTCATCTCCAAAGTGCACTTTAATTTCGAAACATTTTTCACGCCCGGAAGGTTCCCAAAAGCACAAGAATCATAATTTTTGTGAAGCAACCGTAATGAAAATCCTCCATAATTGAAGTTATAGGATGAAGTTTGGATCCCTAAAAACTGATTCCAAATGCCAGATAATCCTATATCATTCAATAATAATTTTTGCGGTTTTGTGCCAAATCAGCTAATGCGATAAAAATTTAACAACACTGCTTTATAATTTTGTTTTTCCAATTTCCTTTATCAAAAATTCATGTCGATCCACGATTTGTCGACGGGCAACAAAATTGCGAATAATTTTTAAAAAAGTATACACAGCAAAAGCTTTTCATGTTTAATGGCTTTTTTTTCTCCCACTCCAAATGTTTTTCGATTGCTTTTTCAAGATCAATAAATGTGAACGATAGTTCTTCAAATTACCAATTTAATCTAAGGGGTTGTTCACTAATGACGTCGTGCGTTCAGTTAAGAAGGGGATTACAATGAAAATTACAGATTCTGGATTGTCAGTTGCTTTACCTAACCTAGGTTATGCTTCTTAGAAAATGACACATCAATTATGCACAACCTCTCTAATCAAGAATTTCAATTCAATTCTATTTATGTTCTCGAATGTCCATGTCAATGGACGAAGATTAAAAATATTTTCTAGACCGAATGAAAATCAATTAACATAATTCCATTTAATTGATGAAGTCCTCAGAATTTCTATAATTGCAAAAATTCTATTCGAATGAGAATAAGTGGGAGCGTTCAATATACTAAGGTCATCAAAAAAGTTCATCGTTATCGAAAGCTACTTATTGCCTACCTAGAAAAGCAGCAGAAAATAGAAGGAGGGAAAGAAAAGACAGCAAAGATATTAGGAAAATTATATCATTCCAAATCGATTGTTCGCGGAAACTCTTTTCGAAAGGAAACAAAAGAATTTGGTATATAGCTTACCACATTATCATATTTCAGCTTAATGATAGCGACGTATCTTCTTTATCTATCGATTAACGTCTTTATTATGTCTAATGATGTCGGATGAATGAGTTGCAATTCGATTGTTTTGGAAATATTCGAGGCAATTTTTGTAGTTTTTCAAGTTTAGAATTTTTAAACGGATTTCTGTTATTTGAATTTTATTTTTTTACAAAATGGTCGAAATTCTCACCTAAGTTTTTATTTTTCATTTTATTTCGCAAAAATCATGAATTTTAAGTTGCAAATCAAATTATCAGCTTCAAAAACATGGCAACAACAGAAAAATCTACCCACAACAATGCATAACAGCTCACAAAATCAAAAATTCACAAACTTGCTCAATAATTCAACGAAAAATCAAGCAATTTTCATTAGAAAACTTTGCAAATATTCCAAAATGTTTAGTAATCACTTTCCCAGGATATTACTTTCTCGAATTCCCCTTCGTATCATAAATGTTGATAGCTGCTACTCGAAACCGTAATTTAAGAAATTCACAAGATCTCATAACCTCAATCTATTATTCTTCCAAAATGAATGCCAAGCACAAATTTTTTTCCTTTTCTTCTTCAGAAAAGCTCGCTGAAAAATTCAATAAAATTGATGAGGAATGAAAACAGGCAATGTCTATATATACCAACTTCCTCTTTAATTTTATTTCCTTCTTTTCCATCTATTTATTCGCTTTTTCTTATTCTATTTCATTTCCTACACAACAACAAAAAAATTGCAGGGGATAGACAAAATGATCTGAAGGATGAAAGAAGAAGAGCACAGATGTCAGCAGCTAGATTAGTATTAGAGCGATCAACTATGATGTTGCTTACATCATCAAAAGTATATTCCTTATTCAATGTTGATGAATAGAATTGAAATTTATGCAAGATTATTCTTTGTCCTTCCCTTCCATGCCGCAGACAACTCTAAGACATCCTCAATGTACTTATTCGAAGGAGAATCGCGATACCGTTTTCTGCCAAATGCGACGTGCCATGGATTTAATTCATTATGTAGTTAAGGACGGAGTGCTAGAATCGACAAATGATCGAAATGTTTCTCGGCAGGTAAGCAAAAGGAAATGAAGTTTTTTAAGTGGAAATAACCCCTCTGTTGCTGTTGATGAAACATTACAGCTTTGGGTAAAATTCGCGAAAAGACTGATAATGGATACTAGTGTGAAGTTGGCTTGTTTATCTTTGATCCAAAAATTATGGTTAGGATTACCTCTGACGTTTACCTTAATAGTAATCCTGAGGTGCTCTTTTGCAAGGATTTTCAACAAAAAAACTTTCAAATTCAGCCATACAAACACACGCCAACTTCACCCAAATCCCATAAACAGTCTCCCACAACTGTTTGTTTTCTTAACAGACACACAAAAATTACATCATTTATGAATTTTTAATTTACGAAACTTTTCATTCCCGCGTTCATTGTTCGTCTCCATCATAAACACAAAGCAGCAGACAATTGAATGGGATGCTGAGCGAAACACGGCATATACATGTTTAAAGCATTTCTCTAGACTTGTTGAAATGGCACGACCTCGATTTGATAAACCACCAGCAATGATATCGAACACATCCCTTGCTCAAGGAACTGGTAAGTGGCTGTGCATTGATTCTTAAATTGTATAAAGTCTTCACATAATGAAGTGGAAATTGAGACTTCACCTTATAATTATGTATTGTGTATGTGAGAACTGATGATGACTTTTTCTTTTCCTCTATTTTTTTCAATTTTCCTTTTTTTTCTTCTGCTACGCAAACACATAAAAATGTATTTATTTTTTTTTTCTTCTCTGCTGTTCCTTCTTTTTTAATTCTCTCGCTTTTCGCTCCACCAATGTGTATATATAGTTAATGTCAATGCCACTACGAACATAGACAATAAAGATGCGAATGCTGAGAGGAGAGGAGAACAGCTCATGCGCAGTAATAGCGAGAGAGATCGTAATAGTCACCCGAGAGAGTTTAATGATAGTAATCATCAACGTGATGTGTGTCTGGCAAAATATAGCTGTCGTGGAGAGGTAAATAAACGTAAAGAATACTCATAAAGCACTTATGTATGTTCTACTAGACATACTCGGTTTCGATATGACTTGGATGAAAAACTTTACTTCTTTTACTAAGTTTTGAACTTAGTTTTTGGTAAACAAATTTAAGTAATGGACATTTTGGGCTTATTATGGAACTTATTATTTTGATTTTTGGGGTGTTTTACTAATTTTTTGATGACATTCCTGAGTAATTTGAAGTCAAACTGATTTGTTTGATAGAAAGGCTTGATTTTCAAGAAATAATGAGCAGCTCACTCAAAAGAGACTCTCATTTTTAATCGGATATATCCTTTTATATACAAAGCATATCAAACTCAAGGTCATACTTCTCTGGATGCTTTGATAGAGAGAATATAGTCCCTGCTAGTACTAGTTCAAAGAAATGTCTTAATCTCAATAATTTTAACTTGTTCCTAATACTAGGATCACTATGTTTCTGTTGTTAGGCTTTTAGGTTCTTATATGAGGTTTATTAGGTTCTGCTACGAGGTTAAACTGCTTCAGATTACTAGGTTTTAATACTAAGATTGTTAAGTTCTTATTGCTAGGGTTACTAGTTACTATTATCTAGATTACTAGGTTTCCGTAGCTACAAACCCCTCGTTTTCCATGAACCTTTAGATCATTAGAGACCTTAGAGTTTATCTGGAAAGAAACAAACTTAACTTCCAACTAGCTTCTCTCCAATTCTCGCCATACATTACTAATCCTATACCGACAAAAACTATCCCCAATTTACAAAATAAAAGTCCCACTTAATTGACTGATTGTCATATCAACAAAAACGACATGAATTTTCACCATACTTTATCTAGCTTATTAGTCGTATAATAGATTGCCTAACTGACTAGGTTGACAGATTATTGATTGATGAGGAAGTTACTCAACGGAGAGTCTAGACGGGCTGACTCAGACACTTAACAAAATTACTAAACGTACGATATGATCAATAGATGCAGAAGCTTTTTATTTAATTGAATTTTCCAATAATGTAATCCATCCTTTATGCATCGCATCCATAAGACATAATGCGCCTTAGTCGTAAAACACGCGATGACCTAGCATAAATTTCTTTCATATCCATTCTTCGTCTTAATTAATTGCTCTTGAACTATTTTTTAATTAACAATTCAGGCCGCTATATCAATATTCCTTCCGGATACAAGGGAGAAACTCATTTTAGCACTCGACAAAGTATGTGAGCGTACACAAGACTTTACAGATTCAGCTTATACGACGCACGAACATCGTGAGAATATTCTACTGCTATGCGATCGTGCAAAGTTGGAATTGAATCAATTGCTGAGGATAGCAGTAAATATGGAGCAACATCCAAATTCCGCATTTGACATTGATTCTTGTGTCGATAGTGTACTCGGTGCTTCGCAGGATCTCATAAATCAATTATTTTTAACGGCACAGGATCAAGCGTCAGATTTACCGCATTTAACAAAATGTGGAGTCGAATATGTGACATTACTCAGGACAATCGCCTTAAATCATGAAATTGACAGGCTACAAAACAGCGCTGATCGTTTTCATGAACATATCGATCATATGTTGGAAATATGCAAGCTCTTAAGACATATCGCAATGACGGAAACATTTCAAGTGCAAGCAAAGTTTTCCGAGATAAATGTTCGAATTTATGGACCGCAAGTTGTAACTGCATCAAAAGCTCTCTGCTCATATCCAAATTCGAAAGCAATGAAGGAGAATCTCGAGGTGTTTGTTGACATGTGGCAATGGCTGACAACTGACATCACAGCAATATCAAAGGACATATTGGATTTAGCACAGACTAATCTAAAACCGGAAAAGCAGGGCTATCTCAGTTTGCCACGACCGGGGGTATGTCACACTTAATTTATTTACTATCTCATGAATGACATTAGTGACTAATGACGCAAAAACATTTATTTTCCTTCACACTTTAACAATAGAAACACGGAACAACATCAAAGCCTTTAAAACCAACAAGGTTAGACACTGAAGAGCAAGAAAAGATAGCAAAAAGTGGATTGGAAATGAAAATGGTAAGTCAATTATACAACATAGAAATGGAGAATGTATATAAATAATGCCAATTAGTGACATTAAGGAGATATAAAAAAGATTAAATTACAATATCCTCCTCATACATTTCTTGATTTCATTTCTTTTTGTTCTTGATCCAGGGGTGGATAGACTTAGGATAGGAGCATCTTGAGTATTATTTAGGGTTTACTTAAAATATTAGGGTCAAACCGTAAGGTCCTAGATGATTTCCAAAGAGTATTAGGTTGAGCATTGACTATAGAAGAGTAAAATCTTGACTAAACTAGAGGAAACCTACGTTATAAGGCAGTCAGCTGGTTAATGTAGATGTAATGTGATTGTAGACTAGATGATAATACTCAAGACATACGCAGACCCACCCCTGAATTAATTCTCCGCCACACTTTTGCCATTTGACTCACTGTTCTCAATATTGTATTAATTCACATATCAGATAACAAACGAAATGGATGCAGAAACAGATAAATGGAATAGTACAACAGATGAGAATAATGATATAGTGAAGAGAGCAAAGAATATGTCAGCAATGGCATTCTCAATGTATCAGTTTACGAAAGGCCAAGGCAGCTTACGTACAACACAAGACTTATTTACTCAAGCTGAGTATTTTGCTGAGGAGGCAAATCGATTGTATAAGGTTGTGCGACAATTTTCATATCAGGTATGACTCGTTTTGTTTTCTTTGTCTTTTGACTCTTTTTTATGACATTTTACTTTTCTCTTCATCATATTTTGATGACAACTGTGGAAAATTTTCATGAAATTTGTTACTCTTGTGATGTTTGAGAGGGTTGGAAGTGACAAAAACAGTTCACATTCTCCTTCGAGGATTTATATTTTGTACTGAATGAGCTAAATTTTATCTGAATATATTTTTTTGTTTCTTTCTTGATTTATCTGGGGATTTAAATGTGTTTTGTTCTTGATTGTTGGAATTTTTAAAGATTATTTTCTTTTTTTGGGAATTTATTTGAATTGTTATGAAATAAAGTTATAGTTCGTAACATCCTTATCATTAGCGTTTATGCAAATGTACCAAAACAAGTTCAGAAAACTTTATAGACAAGCCAAATTCATGTGAACCGCAGCCTTAATAATTTTAATTAAAGCTCATTAAAGTTATCATTCTGAAAATTCAAATTTATTCAAATTATTTTAAGAGTTTCCCGAGATCAGGAAAAATCAGTGTTTCTCAAACTTTTTCGATTCGAGGCACAAGACGCCAGTTTAAACATTATAGTAATTAAATAAGCCTAGTCACATCAGTGAACTGCGGCACACAGTTTGAAAACCACTGGATTTAACCAAAGCTATATGCAAGGATTCATCCTTATGCTCATTTCCAACAAGCATCACGTCATCGTAGTTTAACTTTCTCATTAAAAATACTGAATCTGATTAATATTTTCTCTCCATTTCCCACATTCAGGTGCCAGCTGGTCAACCAAAAAAAGAACTGCTTGATCATTTAGACAAGGTTCCTACATACGTTCAGACACTCCAATTCCAAGTGAAAGAGCCAACGGTAGGAAAGTCAGCAACATTCGTAAAAGTTGACCACGTCATACAAGAAACCAAAAACTTAATGAATATCATATCAAAGGTTGTATCTACATGTTTTGACTGTGCAAATAAGGTGAGCTTGTGTGCTAAAAAAAAAATTTCATTTGAGAAATCATGACGAGTGGTTTATTCTCTCTTGTATATGGGAATTTATGGCTTGGGAATTGGTGATTTTTTTATAGCAGTGAATTATTTAAATGAACAAGTTGGCTAAAACTAATTAAACATACATTTGCAATGGAAATTTTTTTTTCACTGTGGTTAAATTGTGTTCTGTGTCATTTGCTAGATTCATGAAATCTCATGAATTGCAGTGGCATAAAAACTTTTTTTGAAGTGGCAATCAGAATTAAACCAAGTGAAATAAATTGCAGAATGATTTAAGAGAGGCTACAATTTTGCAGTCAAACAACTGTCATTTGAGCTATTCAGCAATTTGGAGGGAAGTTTATATAAAATCAAAGAGGAATAAGTGCTGTGGTTAGCGATATCGCTCAGGGTATAGATGGCTTTTTGAGTTTTTATTGTTTGATTAGGTTTTCGAAATTAAAGACTAGCTTTTTCGAGATTAAAGACTAGCTTTTTCGAAATTAAAGACTAGCTTTTTCGAAACTAAAGACTAGATTTTTTGAAATTAAAGACTAGTTTTTTCGAAATTAAAGACTAGATTTTTTGAAATTGAAGACTAGCTTTTCGAAATTAAAGACTAGATTTTTTGAAATTAAAGACTAGTTTTTTCGAAATTAAAGACTAGATTTTTTTAAATTAAAGACTAGTTTTTTCGAAATTAAAGACTAGATTTTTTGAAATTGAAGACTAGCTTTTTCGAAATTAAAGACTAGATTTTTTGAAATTAAAGACTAGTTATTTCGAAATTAAAGACTAGATTTTTTGAAATTAAAGACTAGCGTTTTCGAAATTAAAGACTAGATTTTTCGAAATTAAAGACCAGCCTTTTCGAAATTAAAGACCAGCCTTTTCGAAATTAAAGACTAGCTTTTTCGAGATTAAAGACTAGATTTTTCGAAATTAAAAACTAGCTTGTTCGAAATGAAAGGATAGCTTTTTCGAAATTAAAGACTAGATTTTTCGAAACTAAAGACTCGATTATTTGAAATTAAAGACTATTTTTTTCGAAATTAAAGACTAGATTTTTTGAAATTGAAGACTAGATTTTTTGAAATTAAAGACTAGTTTTTTCGAAATTAAAGACTAAATTTTTTGAAATTAAAGGCTAGTTTTTTCAAAATTAAAGACCAGATTTTTTGAAATTAAAGACCAGTTTTTTCGAAATTAAAGACTAGATTTTTCGAAAACAAAAACTAGATTTTTTGAAAATAAAAGCTAGCTTTTTCGGAATTAAAGAATAGCTTTTTCGAAATTTAAAACTAGATTGTTTGAAATTAAAGACTAGCTTGTTGGAAATTAAATACTAGATTGTTTGAAATTAAAGACTAGCTTTTTCGAAATTAAAGACTAGATTTTTTGAAATTAAAGACTAGTTTTTTCGAAATTAAAGACTAGATTTTTCGAAATTAAAGACCAGTTTTTTCGAAATTAAAGACTAGATTTTTCGAAAACAAAAACTAGATTTTTTGAAAATAAAATCTAGCTTTTTCGAAATTAAAGAATAGCTTTTTCGAAATTAAAGACTAGATTTTTCGAAATTAAAGACTAGCTTGTTCAAAATCAAATTTAAGTTTTTTTCAAAGCTTACAATTTTTAAAAATTTAATCTCCTAACGCATTTGTGATTGCAATATTTAATGCAACCGAGCCGAGAGAATAAATCACCCAAAAAAATAAAAATCTAATATATTTTAAAGCTTTTCATAAGCAGAATGCCAGAAAAAAAAAGAATTTAATACCAAAATAATTTTATTATTGATTTCACCTCGTTTGTTTTATTTCAAAAACAATTTATCCTTGTTTCATTTTAATTAAATTGCACACACACGAACAATTGTTAGGTTTGACAGGCATCCAAGAAACAAAAAAAACCAAGCTTTTTATTATTTTCATTTTCAATTATGTTTTTGTCTTCATTTTCTTTTACTTTTTTTTTCTTTCTCTCCCTTCTCGTTTCTTTCCGGCAGATGCAAAAAAAGAAAACTGTAGTTTTTACTCTAAGCGATGGTAGATGGGATCTGGAATCGATTCGCCCTTCTTTAGACTTTTTTTCTTCCTCATAAAAAAAGGCACTTCTTCTTTAGACTTTTCTTAAGCGTGAAAACGTCTCTTTTTTTGCTGTAAAATATTTTTCCAATAGTTTTTTGTTTTCTTGTAAAATAAGTAGTTACAATTCTCATTCCTGTAACATAAAAATATCCAATTTATGTACAATGAACTTTTTTAACTCGAAAAACAAAATTATAAATTCAGTAAATTTAGTTGTTTTGACTCTTAAAAAATAGAAAACTAAACTTAAAAAACAATTTTGTTGTAATTCCGCAACGGGACTCGTTGTCTAACTTTTTTATCGTACCCAAATGGAGAAATCTGAACTGCAGCTTAATAAAACTTTTCATTTGTATTCCTCTTATGTCCTTTTGAATTAAAATTCCCATAAGATAACAATTTATTGATGATTCAAGGCACTTCTTTGTGATAAAAGAAAATTGTTGATGACGTAGTTCGCCCTGACCTTGGACAAAGCTTTTCCGGAGCTTAACATTGATTATTGGAAGTTTTTGCTTTTTTGGGGAATTTTTTTATGGTGCTAGGCAATTTTTTTTTTGTGGATGAATACTTTTGAAAAAATTCGATGATTTTCTGTAATTTTTATGGATTCTCGATATCTTGACTAATATTTGATATTGAAAATTGGACATGCTACGATGCCTTAGTCATTCTTGGTATCTATTATGTCATGAACAATTAGTGACCACTCATCATTCTACAAATAAAAGTAGAAACATCCTTTAATTAGACTTTTTGAGGGAAGTATGGTGCTTTAACATAATCAGAACCCACCATGGCTTCATCATTGCTCCAAAACTTTCAATCTAATTCCATTTATTCCAAAAACATCACATTCCAGTCCATTTCATACCAAAAGCATCGACATAAATCACCCAAAAAAGGAAAAGTGGCCTTCCAACGATAAAAAAGCATTGCCTTTTATTATCCTGCCATAATCTACAAAAGCATACCTACGATAACAAATTAATATTAATTCATTTTACATAATGAAACTACACACATGTATCTACATTTCATTTACAAAGTATTGAGTCACGTAGTCAAAAGAAAGTCCTTCGGCATTAGAAAAGTAAGAAGTTAGGGTCGGCATTCTTAGTTCATTTTGATCATTTTTCAGTATTTCCTTAATATGTCCACAAACGGACGAATATTCTAAGAAGTTTCATATTATTCTAAAAATGTCTGCACCCTGATAAAATTGATGTCGGTTGCCTACCTCCTTTCCAATTCATTCAAGCTTACCGGCGGTAAAGAAGAGAAGCTCATGAAAAATTCCGTTCCTCCGTTTTCATTGAATTAATTTACTCGATTCATGAATTTATTGATATCATCTAAGGAAACTGTAAATTATGCCCTGCTACTTCCCAAGGCTTTTATTTTTATTTGCCATTTTATGAAATTGAGAAAGTTTTAGGAGGTTCCTTATAAAATTTTTATGGTCATTGTTATCTTCTTAGAAAAAAAAAAAACAATTTTTTTTATTATTTTATTTTTTTTGGTGAGTGGTGATAGTTTTCTTTTAGCACTTTCAAGGCCCATTAGACTCGTAAAAATTCATGGCTGTTTTCAAGGCAGACGACTTAGTTTTATGATTTTGAATACTTACTAAGTTTGAGTCGCATTTTTCTAAGAGTTTGTAAAATTATGGACTGATATTGGGTCATGAGCTAAGAAGTTGGTCCATAAAGCCATAAAGGCAGACTGATCAGGTTCAGGGATAGAGTTGGAATAACTTGACCACCTTAAATCTCTTCCCTCTTTTGGATACTATCCATGACTAAAGTATCTTAACTGAATTTGGTTGTTGTTTTTCTATTTTTAAGCTACGAGTTTGAGGTCGAATATTTGGTGTCACAACCTTGATAGTCCTTACTACTTAATGATCCTATTCAGCTGTCATTCGATAATTTTCAATATTTCAACTTTATTGAGCACACGTGATCTATTTTCCTATAATTTCTTTTAATCCAGACTAGTGTTGAACCTAAAGCTGTCAAATTGGACCAAAAAAAATAGTTTTCATGATCCATAATCCAGATTATGACCTTAAACCTGTTAATAACTGTTCCAAAAATGCTCAAACAGTAAGAAACAGGCTCAAACTAGAAGAGCTATGAAGAAAAATTAGCATAGGAAATACTAGATTGAATAACAACATGACACACACCCAGAACCATTAACATTCAATAACTCCTTCAACTTCTCAGAAAAATGCGCCCCAGAAATTTATTAAAAACTATAATCACTCATCCATCAGTCAAGTAAATTACTTACAATCTTCATTACTTCCATTTCTTTTACTGCTCTTGTATTTATGACTATGTTTCACGTGGACAAATGATTATTGTTGCTTTTCTTCCTTTTCTCATTTCTACTTCTTTTTTTTTGGACGACATTGGAAATTACAGTTTTCCTTGTCAAGCTACAATAGTCATTGCCTACCGTTCGCCTACTTAATTATTATTTTGTCACTTTTCATTTTTTCCATCATTTTTTATTTTCATTGAATATTTTAGCATAGATTATGTCTGCCTCAACAAGTAGCAATTTACTCGAAATAATTCCGTCCTTGGAGATATGAAATTGGCTGGTCCACTGACAAAGATTGTTGATTATCTCATTATTATTAATTTATGATTTATATTTTTGCGTAACTGACTTCATCGATATTTCATTAAAATTTTGATTTTGCAAAAAAAAAGAGAATTTGATGAGCATAAATATTAAGGTACATACCATAAGTGTTGTTTGTGACGTGCTTCTAACCATCACATAACATAACATGCGAATGGATGATTTAATGCTAACAATGACTAATGTGAAATAATTTTCTTATTCCTTCATGCTTGATTTCGTACGTAACATGACCAAACTTTTGCAAAAATATGTTCTCAATATTTCTTTTTAACCCGGTTTTTGCTATTAAGCGCAACAACTTTATCATTGCATTGCCAAAACCAACAAGTTTTGCTGGCAATGTGATACATTTCTCTTACTTTTTTCTTCCTTCTTCCTATACACTCACTTGAGATTTTAAGAGCCCACATAATTTGTTTTATTTTGCTAACACTTTTTTTCTGTTTTTCTGTATTTTGGGGATTCGTTCATAAATGACGTCTTTTTGGTGACTTTTGTTTTGTAATTTTTGAGAGATGTTGAATTCTCATGAGTTCTTTGTAGGATAGGGATCGTGCACTTATGACGTCCAAAATTAACAGTCATTTTTCTTGCTGACCCCCCCCCCCTGGACGTCATAAGTGAACGGCCCCATAGAACTTTTGGCAAAGAATCTTATAAACCCATGCTGTGGTTGGGTATTTATGCTGTAGACCCAATCTATGATGTAGACATCATTTATGAACGACCTACTTTTTACATTTTTATATACTTTTCCTTTTTTTTTGTTTTTTGAAGACACTAATGAATTTATTGATTTTGATTGTCGACCAGAAACTTTTTTATAATAGAAATAAATTTTATTCATCCACAAAAACCATTTGCTCCTTTCTTTTTTCTTCCGTCCACAAAACAAACAAAAAACTACAGTATAAGCTGGATTTCAGTGGTCTAGGACGCTCGATAGCTGGAAATGCTCGAGACGAAGAAGGAAATTCAGGAATGCAAGGATCAGATTCAAAGGGCTCGTCAACTAGCGAAGCGAACATGTGACAGTACGGGATGCGTCGTGGAAAAGGCGACGCTCGAAGGACGCGTGTTTCATTCTTATTATTTTAATAGAAGAAGGAGAACCAGCGGCACAATTCATAAAGGGGATACATCTACAAAGTGTACTGTTGGCGATTTTTTTGTGCATTACAAATTTTTATGCTAAACATCTGTGCATCCTGAAAATTTGTTAAGCTATGCAACATTATTTATGGCCTGGCAAACCATAAATATGCATAGATCCATCATTAATATGCACATATTTGCTCCATCCAACATTGCAGATGCGGAGCATTTTCTGGTAATTAAATTGTTATTTTTAAAAGTGAAATGAAGCTGATGAATGAATAATTCAGCAATTTATCGGCTATAAATACCAGGTCATCAGGTAATTAAATAACAAATTTATCAGACATAAATCGTCAACATACACAAAAAAACTTTCATCCAATTGAATTTATGGGACATTTTATGTCCCTTTGTTGACTCCAAAACAACGATAAAAAATTATTGCTTAAATTAAAGAGCATTAAAAGCAACAATAATGAAAATCGGAGCCATTAATTCAATGATGAAAGGATTGTAGGTGCGATACACGCCTTGAATAAATTTTTGTATATATAAATATCCCGAGCAGTCGCTAGGACATTGCTACGTCGCTAAATTGATGAAGAAATGTCAAAAAGACGTAGATGTGCCTTAATGACGTTATGACTAGATTAATAATAAGCTTACCTAGTTTGAAATCTAGCTTAACTAGCTCAACTAGCTTGAATACTAGTCAGTGGCAAAATAAGAAGCTATGCCAATCGGGTTCATTTATTCAAGGCGTTTTAAGAGCGTATAATATCCTCAAGAAGCGAAATTTTGTTGTGCTGCTGGTGCGGAACTAACTACATCGTATACTCGATTATGTTTTTATATAGTTTTAATTTTATTTTTAAATTATAAATATTTATTCACTCGAATTTAATGTTATTTAATGATATTTCTGTTAAGTCCTGATTATTTTTAAGGACATTTTGGAGACGGGTTGAGTGACTTTGGTGCGAAAATTGGAATTTATGGGATGGAAAATCAATGTTTGAGGTTTAATGGATTTTTAAGAATGATTTGAGTTACTTTAAAGAGTTCTCTTGAGTTTTATAGCTTGAGTGGCAAAGAAGTAAAGAAGCGACAATTTGTAGTCGATGTAAAGACTTTGTGTCAATCTTATAATCATATTCAAATGCAAATTGACACTACAGATGAATCTATTGATGAACATTTGAACTGCTACGAAGATCTAATGAAGAATAAAGCAACACAAATCCCTAAAATTCCAAAAACTAAGGTTAAAAATGGAATAGATCGTCTGATCTAGATTACGTCTATTTTAGATTAAGTTGACTATCAAGATTTACCGAGATTTGGGTAGTTTAACCATGAATTGACCTGTTTCTGAATTCTTCTTTGTGAAATGATTCAGATAGTGTCTAATTGAGGGTTCCTAAATCAAAATGACGTCTTAGTGTCAATAGGTTAAGTTTTTTCTTTTAAAAACCAATACTTGAGCTAGATATCGACTTGTATCTTATATTTAGAATTTATAGTCAAACCGACTTCAAAAGTTCTGATCAATACCAAATTGAATTAAAGAATCACAAACTTTAACCACCAAAGTTATGAATCCATCTTCAAAAACCATTAAATTAAATTTTATTTCGTGAATTTAAATAAAAAATAATGTGGCAAATAAGAAATCAAAAGTTTTAAGAAAAAAACCAAAAAGATGAAGAAAATTTTTTGTAAATCGTCAATAATTTTTTATTAGACATAGAAATTCATTCATATACATACAATACATATAAAAAGATGCGTAAAGAATCGCTTTATGCTGATGATGAAAAAAATGAAGTAATAAATAAATAAATTAATAAGTAATAATAATAAAGTTTGAACATTTCAGACAATTCAGAGGTTAGTGAATGCAAAAAAAATAACTTTAAAATTTCAATAATCATTTTTATTAAAATATTTAAAATATATTTTTAAGATGAAATTCCTACATTATCACTTCGTGTTCTGAATATCTTAATGACAAAGAAAAATGATGAAAAACGTATCTAAATGTTTCGATAAATAAAAAAAATTCGTAGACTTTTTCAAATGAATGCGATTAATTTAATTACATTCATTTTGTACCTGTTGTATGAGAGTTTAACTCAATTTATAGACTTTCTGATTTTTGTATTAAATTTTTTTAAGCTCTCTATATGTCCCTCCTACCCACCTTTATCCCCCAAACTATCAATATTACTTCTATTTTGTATAATCGAAAATGTGGAATCTTTATGATATAAATTCTTATTAATCTGGCTGTAAAAAACATAAATTTCGAATTTCCTTTTTCATTCTTTCTATAGAAACCTTTTTAAATATTTATTCTAATTTTAAGTGACAGCTAGTGAGGCTAGATGATGATTTTGACTTGAATTTTGTAAAAAAAAACCTTTGAAAGGAAAAACTTTCAAATTTCGAGATTTATTGGATTTTTCGAATTTTCGAATTTCGAACTTTCGGATTAAAGAACTTTTCGAATTTAAAATGATCAAATTTTCGATCTTGGGTTTTTTGAGCTAACGGATAATTGAATTTGTGAATTTCGAACAATCAAACATTCGAACTTAAGAATATTCGATCATTAACTTTCTGAATGATTCATATAAAAGTGTAAGAAACCCACTCCCAAGCTTGAATTCCCATTCAACAAAACAAAAACATATTATTATCCTCACAAATATAATGAACGAATTACACTCAGTTTTCTTAGAGTTCTGATTAATCATCTCCTTAACAAGATGATTTTGAAGATTTTGATGAAACTTTTATGCCAACTCATATCATAGCAAAGGCAAAAGCTTTAAAGATCATCATTATATTAATGTTATGATCTTTTCAATATTCAACGAAGGTATTATTGGATGAGAATGAGATGCCTTCAAAATAAAGTGTTTTGTAATGTTCAAAGCAGCAAAAGAAAAACTTTTTCTTTTATTTCATTTGAATGCAGAACATAAAAATTTTCCATCCGCATTGAAATGAAGAAATTTTTTGGTGCAACCATAAGTTGTAAATTTTAATGCGGCATTAAGTGCTGAGAGATGTAGCTAAGGTTTACATTTTTTAGAGATGATTAGCACTATAGTCGCAGTAAAGAGGTGAATTCTTAATCTTATGGGAAACATTAAAGTTGTAAATCTGTCAGACTTAAACTTTTGCAGCATCTTAGCAGCAATGCATTGCTCCAAGCTACTTTATGGTTTAGTCAGAGTAAAAGAATTGGTTTGCTGATAAAAACAAGCTTACCGCTTCCATAGTTACAAGGCATGCTGTTATTTTGATTCTGCTGACGTCATTGGCGACAAAATAACAGAAATAACAATAAAAACATTGATGACATTTGCGGTTTTCATTTGTTTTGTTGCTTGCACGTAAGCATTCCTTAAAAGCACATGTGTCATATATGAATGAAGCATGTGGTGCTACTTTCGATAAGGTACAAAAGAAAGTTGGTATTAAAATGGCTAGTGCGCCAGAAACTGAGAATTGAGGCAGTTCCTGTGGTTCTTAGTTCGAGACTTCTTTATTCTTGCATAGCTAGAGCTTAATGCCACACGCTCAATTCTGATAACCAAGCTTACAATTTGGTTTGATATCGGCTTTAATGTTGCGTTTGATTTTGACTCTTGGGTATAAGGCCAAGGCTCACAACACTTAACTGGCAAGCCCACACCACTCAAAGTGGTTATATAATGTTGTGACTACATCAATACAACCAATACATAACCTCCCACACTCCGCATCTAGTAATGAATGTTTATGCACAAATTAGTTCAATTTCCGATTCAATCCAATTTAAATAATTTGGTCTAACTGAGCTTTTTACATTAAATATTTAAAAGGCCTTTCATCGTGCTCCAAACCAAATGGGAATATTTTCACAATTTAAATTGTAAAAGCTCCAGTGTGGTTTCCGATAAAAATTGCTCTGACAGCACGAAAAATGTTATTTGAGCAATATTTTAAACATTTATGCACTATTTTGCATGCCTCGAATTAAATTAATTTTATGGTCATAAATTTGAAATGGTTGTTGGAATGTGCTTGTGCTGATTAGATTGCGATCTAGTTTTTAGTTATGATCTGGGGGTATAATATGGGTTTGGAAGCTTTTATTAAGTATGGAATGATTAGATTGAATACCAGGACAATAGGAACTATCATGTCAAGCTACATCTAGAATAACCTCAAAGAAATTGATCAAAGTAGATCAATAGTTTAAGTTAACATTCTGTCAACCTTCAAAAACCTAGAATGAAATCCTGAATAAGCTCAATCGCTAGATCATTCGATTGAAAATTGTAACAGTGCAAGTTCGAATCTCATTTAAGACTTAATCATAAAAAGTTGCTTTTTTCTGTCAAATATTCAACTTTAAAGTTCCTTAAGCATCAACGTTTAGTTCCATCTCTTCACAGCACCTTACAAGCTATTAAAAATTCAAAATAGTGAACCTTTATTGGTAATTTATGAATCATTGGATATTCACAAGCCATTTCATTGAAAGGATTCAAGATTAACCCCATTTTCAGTTCGGGGTTAAAAGCAATAAATCTTCAATGTCTAGAAATTGAAAAGCTTTTATTTCTATTTTGGGATCTACAATTATTCTGGGTTATAAAGCTCAGTGAATAATCGTGGATATAATTCAAAATGACTGTAGGTTATTGAAAATTCATGCTTGGGAGACAGAAAATGTTTGTTATCGTGTCGTGGTAAGAACTGAGTTGTTTATCAAGAACAGAAATAAAATTCAAGTCAAGATCCTCGTCTAGCGCTGAGGAAATTCAAGTAAACAAGAATAAATGACGGTGAAAAAATAATAAAGTGTAAAAATTTACAAAAATAAAGCTAGTAAAATAATAGAAATACAAAATAATAATAATAATAAATAATAATGATAATAGAAAGGAACTACGAAATAGAATCTATTTTTGTAGCTAGAATTTTGAATTAAAAAACCAAGTGAAATTAATTAACTTTGTAGATTTTTTTTGCCAACAATGCAATCTTTAATAAGATTGAAAGAAATAAGGTGAAATAATAAAGTGAAAACCAAATAGCTTTTAGTCGTGACATAAGAAGAAAATCATTTCATCATAAAAAATCAAGGTTCTGTGAAAAATTCCGATGGAAACAATCATTTTTTAGATGAGAATTTAGAATTAATTAAATTAATGCTATGTATAGATGCTCTATCTTTATCTCTCTAGCTCTATTTCATCCCCTTTTTATTATGTATCGATAAGTGTCAATCTATTTCGGATCTTAAAATTCTCCTTTGTATCTAAGTAGATAGAACATTTCCTTTAATGATAACTAGCTCAGGCTGTGGGGAATCTGGAGTTATATTTTTGAAATTTCGGTTTTTTTTAAAAATTCAAATATTTTTTGACTGTTAAAAATTCAAAAAAATTTGACCTTTAAAAATTTAAATATTTTTTGACCGTTGACATATAAAATTTAAAATTTGACGATCAAAAAATAAAAATTTTAAAACTCCGAAAACTTAAATAATTCAATCAGCAGTTCCCCGTAATCTGTGCAATCTAACTTTATATAGAAAACACTTTGCGACAGTAATTAAATACGGATTGAACATTACCGGTGGACAAACGATTATAATAATTAAACATAAACGACTGTCCATTAAAACTGTTTTAATTGTAACAAATTAAAAATTAATAGTCATTTACGGCGTTTTTTGGATGGAATAAATCTAATTGTTATAAACATTTGTCCACTGTGAGGGATAATTATGGCTTAATGATAACTATTTGACGAGGATATACAGTCTGGCGTAATAATGCTAATTATCAGCCATAATTAACATATGACGCTATGATTTTAATATACACACAAAAAAAACTTTTTCAATGTACGATTTGAGTGAGAATTTACAACTAAAACAAAACTTAATAAAAAAAATTTCATTCACTTTTTGCTAGCGTCGACTAGCTCTGCTAATAAAAAAATTGAGAATATAGTAAAATAAAACTTATATTGGCTTCAATGTGGAAGCTCGAGATAAAGGACAAATTATTTTTTGTGTGTTGGATTTTTTGCGGAATGGGATTTGAGGTTTGAGGTTCAGATGGTTGAGTCATGTAAATAAGGAATGAAAGCTGTTTGGAATGGAGTTTTTTTATAGTCGAAAAAATAAATATTCAACTCTTATGAACCTCTAAGGGTTAATTTTAAAAATTAATTGAACTTTTGAAAAATTATTGAAAAAAAATTGAAACTTTAGAAATTCAAATTGAATTTGAAAAAAAATAAAAATTGATCGAAAATTCTAAAATTCCTTAAAAAAAATCCAACACTCAGCACAAAAAATAATTCAACCTTTTTCACAAAATTTGGAGAAAAAAATTGATAAAAAAAAAACCTTTCTAACTTCTAATTTTCTCAATTCA